TTTAGGTTTTTTGTATCAAGGATATTTAAATAATACACATTTTTACATTATTGCAGTATTTCGTTATCAAGACGTCATAACCGTTATCAAAATAATTTTTAATTTCCCAAAAAAAGGAGAAAAAATAAAAACTAAGCTTGGCCATCCATTTTATTTTGATAATTAATGTTTTTGTAACGTATTTGCAAAAATTTGTGAAAATACATTTAAAAAAATTGTTAATCCAAATTACCTTTTGAAATTGTACCTTTTCTGAAGAATGACCCTTAACAGAAACATATTTTTTAGACCTAATTTGCCACACAGGTAAAAATCACATTTCCCGATTTTCAGATGTGAAAAGTATTAAATTACTGTTTTAGTATTTTCCACAATATCTTATTAATAGCCGAAGTAAATCAAAGGTATATTGCCGTTTCGGCTGACATAAAAATTTGGTACGCTTTGGTAGCGTTTTGCCTGACTACATGTTAAACGGAAAAAAATTGTTGCGATTCTCCTGACCTGCTCAGGTAATAAATATATTTTTACTGTAAAGAAATCTATTACTAACAAATGAATAATAATAAGAAATTAAAATAAAATTAAATTAAAATGTTATAGTTATTTAATTTGATATAAACAAAAAATATAGAGCACCCAGTATAGTAAAAAGTTAGTAAAATAAAAACTAAACATTTTTTCAAATTGACGAAGCGTAAATCGAATAAAGTATTTGAATTTAGAATTTTTTTTATGTGTCCCAATAACCGGTCAGGACAAAAAAAATATATTTAAAAACTAACATTCCTCTAGTAATAATTTCAACTATACATTACTTTAGAAAAGAACTTAGTATATCTATGAAAAAAGATTTAAAGGAAAAATTATCAAGATGGTTTAGAAAATTTAAAAATAATTGATTTAAAAACACTGGTAGGTACAAATCGCTTAATAATGTCAATAAATGTAGTTTTTTTTTTGTTTCAAATCAAATCATCCTTATAAATCAAATTTTGCATGTATTTTGAAAATGGCCCTTATGATAAAAAAGCACGCACCATCCAACTTATGATCAGGCGAAATGATACCACAATTTGAGCTTGTCAGGCGAATCGGAAAATTTTAATTGGTCAGGCGAAATGGGAACAGGCGAATCGGGCATAAATCAAGTTAAATACATAGGTATTACGTGGGTAGGTATTTACCATTTTATAAAATTACAATTAACACAAAATATAAAGCACTCCGTCGAATATTTATAACTATAATTTTGCGTCTTGGTTTTTGACCTTCACGTAGCCAAAGAAAATATTAAATTATTAATATATTATATTTAATATAGAAAATATTAAATATTAGATGAGTCTTCAAGTCTGAACAGGAAAAATCTAATATGATTCTTACTCGTCGTACAATATTCGAGTCTGGACAGGAAAAACGTAGTTCGTAGAGTATTCAAGTCTGGACAGGAAAAATCGATAAGATCTAATTTGAAACTTACTCGTCGTTCGTACAGTATTCGAGTCTGGACAGGAAAAATCGACAAGTTTATACTTTATACGGATATTCATGGTATTGCATGTTGCACACAGAATTAACTAACCTACTGATTTTATTATATTTAATAATTAACGCCAATTGAATAGCTATTTGATTTCAAAAATAGACATGTTTTCAGTCACAATAGGAATAGGTCATTATATCAACGAACATAAACTTCGATAACATTATTGATTATATTATCATGAATTGAGATGAAAACATTTTTGATTTCAGTGTCTTAGTGCCTTGTTCATTGGAATCGTTAGAAAAATAAAAAATTCGAATTGTATTCAGACCTCCGGTTTGGCGCCCCTTTAGAGATGCGCCCGCGTGCGGTGCACGGGCAGTTGCGGGGGCCCTGGTTCTAGCACTATGATATTGTATGAATGTGCATTGTGTCATATATTATATTTTTGGTCTAAAAAAAATGTCAAGATTTATATCATTTGCCAGCCTAATGTAGTGAAATACATAATATAGATATTAAAAATAAAGATGAGTTCAGACTGCAAAATTGTAAATATGTAGTTTCTTCCAAAGCATCATCGAGACTTGAAGTTTTTAATTCACTCCCTGATGATATTAGAAATATTAATATTATATAGTGTGACCCATTTAGATTGGAAACACCCCTGTACAATTTGAAATTATTAACCAATTTGAACCATTTTTTTTAATTGTCAGGTAACAAAAGATTTACTTTGGGACAAAATTTAAAATGTTTATTTCAATTTTTAGAGTATATTACGATACTTTTTCGGAGTCAAAAATGGAGAATTTTTATTAGCGATTAAAAAATTACTATTTCACTGGATTTAGAGTGCCTTCTAATAGCTGTGACTAAAACTTTCATAAAAATATAATTATTAATAAAGAAGTTATGACCACTTAAAATTCGAAAACAGAAGTTATTAGAATAAATAATTAAGAATAAAGATCATAACTTCTTTATTAATAATTATATTTTTATGAAATTTTGGTCACAGCTACTTATTAGAAGCCACTCTTAATCCAGTGGAGTAGTAATTATTTTAATAAAAAAATCACTAATAAAAATTCTCCATTTTCGACTACGAAATAGTATATTGTTTCACGAGTGACGAAAATTACCAACCTCGGCTTCGCCTCGGTTGGTAAATTGTTCTCTCGTTTCAAAAAATGATTTTCGACGAGTAAAACACTATACTTTTTCTACGAACTCTATTATGTCATGTAGGTACCTACTAAAATGAAAAAAAAAAAAAAACAAACAAACGTTAGCAAATGCTTTATTTTGTGTTAGGAATAAAAAAAAATTAACCAACAATTAAATATTTCAGAAACATTATTTATTATTTAAATATTGATTTATTGTTATATTTGAACAATTGTTCAAAATTATGGGGGTATCACACTCAAGCTTTTTATTTATTGAGGTAGATGCCGACATATTTGTTCTAGTGTTAAATGTCATTTCAGATGATGCGCCATAATCGGATGAACTAGTAGTTTCCTTATTTTGTACAGATTGTAAAATTTTGGTTTGTATTTGGTTTTTACTGTTCGTGGATTCATCAACATATCCTTCCGCAACACTACTAGATTTCCAACCACCGTGCTTTTTTACAGAAGCAAGTCACCTCCTGCATCCACTAATAGCGTTGCGGATGTTCTGCGTAATCTTGAGGATTCGGAAGCGTTAAAAACTGAGCAATTTCGTTAGGAAATTTACTGATTTTATTAATTCCAACAACCTGTCTGCTACACTTTCCATTCTGATAGTTAATAAAGAATCTTGAATTAATTTGATCCATGTTTGCGGGACGTAGGCTCATATATTTTTTAGAAATATCATAAAAGGTCCAGAAATATGAAAAGAACGCGGAACTTTTGTTTTTGTATTACGGATTTTAACTAACAGAATACTTCCAGTATCCTTTACATCGCTTATTGTTAAATCTTTTAGTTCGTGGCAATGACAAGCGCCAGATAATCCAAAAACTAATGCTACCTACAAATATTAGTAGTTATGTATTAAGTATTTGTTAAAATAAAAATAATAATTCCGTTACCTTTGTTATTAAATATTTATAGTCAGGTGCATTCTTTAGGAAAGTCTTTAGTCTTCAGGCGAAAAAATTTTAGATTTTCTTTTCAAAAGCGAACGTAACTTTGGATATTTACTAATATCGACATCATTTTTAACAGAGAGTGTAGTTCTTAGCATCGAATAAATGGACCATAACGTCGACGGTTTAAAATTTGAACATATTTCTCCAAAGTATGCTAGTTACAGTATACAGTTTCCGAAAATGATTTCACTTTATTTTTTTCTCTCCAATCCAAAAATTTGATATAAATTTCTTCATATCTCTTTTTTGATTTGGCCGGTAATAAATCTGAAGAGGTTTCTTCAGCTTTAAAAATAATTTCTGGGGGAGTACAATCGCTTTCTGACTCAGACATCATGAAAATGTGTTAAATTTAGGACGAACTGAAACTGACAGTTCTCAAAAGTGATAAAACTTCAAATAAACAAATGAAAACCAGGAAACTAGATGTAGATTGGTTTAATTTGCACTATTTTTATACATTTTTATTTTATCTTTAATTCATTAAAGTTTAGGTAAAAACGCATATAGAATTTAATGAGCATCTTTTTATTTCATTATTAATAATTATAAGCTGCCAAAATATTATACGAGGCGACTGATATATGAAAATATGTAACAACTTACTTTCGTCACTAGAGACGAAAGTAAACGTTATGGGATTTTTTCTCACTAGTGACGGAAATCAAGTTTTCGCTGAAAGTATCCTGTGGCGAAAGATGTCTTTTTGTAATAGTTTGTAGAAAAAAGTATTATATTATGCTCTAAAATTAAAATAAACATTTTAAATTTTGTTCCAAAGTAGATCTTTTGTCACATGATAATTTAAAAATAAATTGGTTTAAATTGGTTAATACCTTCAAATTTTACCATTCTAAATGGGTCACACTGTAATTTGTTTAAAAATAGTTAAGTGTTATTATAACGTTGAAGATATTTAGATACTTATTTGTATCGAATAATAATATTATTTTGTCCTGTTTTTTATATTGTTATTATAATTTTACCATTTGTGTATCTATTTGTCTTTGTTTTTAAGATTTATAATTTGGACCGTTCTAGATTTATTGTTATTGACTATTCCTGTATAATGTAAATTATCTTTAAGAAAAATAAATAAATATATAATTATTTAATATTTAGCAACCTGAAGAATATCGTTTTCAACGTTTACCCCCTCGAAAAACCCGCCGTATCTCCAATAAGTCAATTCCCCACTTCATATCTCCACCGCCTCTTCTCGTTCTCATCCTCAGCCTCATCCTACATCTAACAATTCAAATAAAATGGTCGAACGGCCGTCGCCGTTTGAGCGTCCCGACGCACATGTTGATCGGGCCCGCCACTGCACATGCGCCTGTCCCGGAGAAGAGTCGCCAGTCGAAGGTTGGCTCCCGGAGCAGTTTCCCGATCCGCTTTCCTCCAACCTGTTGTTCGGCCACTAAAGCGACACCGAATATCCGCCACCACGTCAACTTTTTAAACGCGGTTAATGACTTTATTCGCATCTTTGATATCTGCCACGCGACCGTTCTGTGTTTCCTGCTGGTAGTACCGCTACTGCTGTGTTGCTGTTCTACGAGGGTTTCCAAGGTTTTCCAGAAGTCGATTCGGAATTGGTGAGTTATCCTTTAAGAAAGTTTACTTCTGATGCGACTGAAGATGTTTGAATACGTTAAGAAACGTTGACAGACGTTTTAATAGCATTTTTATGGTTCTAAGTTAAAATAAATTTACTTCTAATACGACTGAAGATGTTTTAATGTGTTAAGAAACGTTGACAAACGTTTAAACAATATCTTTAAGAGTCTAAATCAACGCAAATTTACTTGTTATACAATTAAAGATGTTTTAATGCCTTAAAAAACTTTGACAAACATTTAATTAATACTTTTTGGTTCTAAATTAATGAAAATTTACTTCTGTTGCGACTGAAGATATTTTAATGCGTTAAGAAACGTTGACAAACGTTTAAACAATATCTTTATGAGTCTAAATCAACGCAAATTTACTTGTTATACAACTAAAGATGTTTTAATGCCTTAAAAAACTTTGACAGACATTTAGTTAATACTTTATGGTTCTAAATTAATGTACATTTACTTCTGTTGCAACTGAAGATGTTTTAATGCGTTAAGAAACGTTCACAAATGTTTAAACAATATCTTTATGAGTCTAAATCAACGTAAATTTACTTTTTATACAACTAAAGATGTTTCAATGCCTTAAAAAACTTTGACAGACATTTAATTAATACTTTATAGTTCTAAATTAATGTAAATTTACTTCTATTACGACTGAAGATGTTTTAATGCATTAAAAAACGTTGACAGACGTTTAAACAATATCTTTATGGGTCTAAATCAACGTAAATTTACTTTTTATACAACTAAAGATGTTTCAATGCATTAACAAATTTTGACAGACATTTAATTAATACTTTATGGTTCTAAATTAATGTAAATTTACTTCTATTACGACTGAAGATGTTTTAATGCGTTAAGAAACGTTGACAGACGTTTAAACAATATCTTTATGGGTCTAAATCAACGTAAATTTACTTTTTATACAACTAAAGATGTTTTAATGCCTTAAAAAACTTTGACAGACATTTAATTAATACTTTTTGGTTCTAAATTAATGTACATTTACTTCTGTTGCGACTGAAGATGTTTTAATGCGTTAAGAAACGTTGACAAATGTTTAAGCAATATCTTTATAAGTTTAAATCAACGTAAATTTACTTTTAATACAACTGATGATGTTTTAATGCCTTAAAAAACTTTGACAGACATTTAGTTAATACTTTATGGTTCTAAATTAATGTAAATTTACTTCTATTACGACTGAAGATGTTTTAATGCGTTAAAAAACGTTGACAGACGTTTAAACAATATCTTTATGGGTCTAAATCAACGTAAATTTACTTTTTATACAACTAAAGATGTTTCAATGCCTTAACAAATTTTGACAGACATTTAATTAATACTTTATGGTTCTAAATTAATGTAAATTTACTTCTATTACGACTGAAGATGTTTTAATGCGTTAAGAAACGTTGACAGACGTTTAAACAATATCTTTATGGGTCTAAATCAACGTAAATTTACTTTTTATACAACTAAAGATGTTTTAATGCCTTAAAAAACTTTGACAGACATTTAATTAATACTTTTTGGTTCTAAATTAATGTACATTTACTTCTGTTGCGACTGAAGATGTTTTAATGCGTTAAGAAACGTTGACAAATGTTTAAGCAATATCTTTATAAGTTTAAATCAACGTAAATTTACTTTTAATACAACTGATGATGTTTTAATGCCTTAAAAAACTTTGACAGACATTTAATTAATACTTTATGGTTCTAAATTAATGTAAATTTACTTCTGTTGTGACTGAAGATGTTTTAATGCGTTAAGAAACGTTGACAGACGTATAAACAATATCTTTATGGGTCTAAATCAACGTAAATTTACTTTTTATACAACTAAAGATGTTTTAATGCCTTAAAAAACTTTGACAGACATTTAATTAATACTTTTTGGTTCTAAATTAATGTACATTTACTTCTGTTGCGACTGAAGATGTTTTAATGCGTTAAGAAACGTTGACAGACGTTTAAACAATATCTTTATGAGTTTAAATCAACGCAAATTTACTTTTTATACAACTAAAGCTGTTTTAAAGCCCTACAAAACTTTGACAGACATTTACTTAATACTTTATGGTTCTAAATTAATATAAATTTACTTCTGTTGTGACTGAAGATGTTTTAATGCGTTAAGAAACGTTGACAATTGTTTAAACAATATCTTTATGAGTCTAAATCAACGTAAATTTACTTCTAATACGACTGAAGATGTTTTAATGCAATAAGAAACGTTGATAGACATTGAAATAATATTTGTATGGTTCAAAATCAACGTAAGAATGTTCCGGGAAATTTTAGTAGTTCCAAGTACCTTTAGTAATAATCCGGTGAGTTATTTTTTAAATAAATTTGATTCTATTAAGATTGTTGTTGTTCTGTATTTAATATGAAAAGGTCAGAGCAATTTTTACACTCGGGTTTCTTGAAGTTAATTTGGAGTTAGTGAGTTTTACTGAAAATTTACTTCTAATACAACTAAAAATGTTAAATGCGTTAAAAAAAAACGTTAGCAGACATTTAAATTATATTTTAATATTACTAAATTATGAAAAGGATGTTCCAGAAAATTTTAATATTTCTGAATGACCTTAGATCTGGTAAATTATTTTATAAAGAAAATTTACTTCTATTATACGTCTGAAGCTTAGAGGCTTTTGATCAAAATATGGGGGGGGGGTTCACAATGACAAAATATAGATTTCAGAACAGATTTAGGTAAAACACTTTTAATGTAATATACCTTTTTAAAATACTGAAAGTTGTTTACCTAAATCTGTAATAAGATCTATAATCTGATATTGTCAACCCCCAATATTTTGATCACAAGCCGTCACTGCTGAGGATGTTTTAATGCGTTTAAAAACGTTGACGGACATTTAAATAATATTTTTATTTTCTAAATCAACGTAAGAATGTTCCGGTAAGTTTTAATAGTTCTAAATGCCTTTAATAATCATCAACTATGTGATCCTTTAAGAAAATTTACTTCTAATGTCACTGAAGTAATTTTAGGGCGTTAAGAAACGTTGAAAGACGTTAAAATAATATTTTTATGGTTTTAAATCAATGTAAGAATGTTCTAGAAAATTTTAATAGTTCCAAATGCATTTAGTAATTGTTTGGTAAGTTATTTTTATAAAGAAATGCACTTCTAATACGACTGAAGATGTTTTAATGTGTTAATAAACGTTGATAGACGTTTAAATAATATTTTAATGATTTTGAATCAACGTAAGGATCTTAAGTGAAGTTTTAATAGTTTTAAATACTTTTAGTAATCATCTCGTGAGTTATCCTTTAAGAAAATTTACTTCTAGTAAGACTGAAGATGTATTAGTGTTTTAAAAAACGACGAGAGACATTTAAATAATATTTTTGTAGTTCTCAATAAGCGTTAAGATTTTCCGAAAGTTTTAATAATTCTGAAAGCCTTTAAGTAATCATATGGCTGGCTAGTTATTTTTTAAAGGCAATTTACTTCTAATTCGACTGATGATGTTTCAATGTGTCAAGAAAAATTGATAGGCGTTTAAATAATATTTTTATGTTTCTAAATCAATGTAAGGATGATCAGGGACGTTTTAATAGTTCTAAATGCCTTTAATAATCATCAACTATGTGATCCTTTAAGAAAATTTACTTCTAATGTGACTGAAGTAATTTTAGGGCGTTAAGAAACGTTGAAAGACGTTAAAATAATATTTTTATGGTTTTAAATCAATGTAAGAATATTCTAGAAAATTTTAATAGTTCCAAATGCATTTAGTAATTGTTTGGTAAGTTATTTTTATAAAGAAATGCACTTTTAATACGACTGAAGATGTTTTAATGTGTTAATAAACGTTGATAGACGTTTAAATAATATTTTAATGATTTTGAATCAACGTAAGGATCTTAAGTGAAGTTTTAATAGTTCTAAATACTTTTAGTAATCATCTCGTGAGTTATCCTTTAAGAAAATTTACTTCTAGTAAGACTGAAGATGTATTAGTGTTTTAAAAAACGACGAGAGACATTAAAATAATATTTTTGTAGTTCTCAATAAGCGTTAAGATTTTCCGAAAGTTTTAATAATTCTGAAAGCCTTTAAGTAATCATATGGCTAGTTATTTTTTAAAGGCAATTTACTTCTAATTCGACTGATGATATTTCAATGTGTCAAGAAAAATTGATAGGCGTTTAAATAATATTTTTATGTTTCTAAATCAACGTAAGGATGATCAGGGACGTTTTAATAGTTCTAAATGCCTTGAGTAATCAACTGAGTTATACTACTGATTGAAGATGTTTTAATGCGTTAAGAAACATTAAGAGACATTTAATTAATATTTTTACGATTCCAAATCAACGTAAGGATGTTTTAAAAAGTTTTAAATGCCTTTAGGAATCATCTGGTGAATCCGTTAAGAAAATTTACTTCTATTACGACTGCAGAAGATGTTTTAATGCAATAAAAAAACGTTCACAAATATTAAGGATGTTCCGGGAAGTTTTAATAGTTCTAGTAATCATTTGGTGAATTATTTTTTTTAAGACAATTTACTTCTAATGTAATTGATGATCTTTTAATGTATTAAGAAACGTTGTCAGACGTTTAAATAATATTTGTATGGCTAAATCAACGTAAGAATGTTCCGCAAAAGTTTTAATAGTTCTAAATGCATTTAGTAATAATTTGGTGAGTTACTTTTTTAAGAAAATTTACTTCTAATGCGATTGATAATGTTTTAATGTATTAAGAAACATTGACAGACGTTTAAATAATATTTTCATAGTTCTAAATCAAAGTAAGAATGTTAAGGGAAATTTTAATAGTTCTAAATAATTTTAATACTCATCTGGTGAGTTATCCTTTAAAAAAATTAACTTTTAGTATGGCTGAATGTTTTAAAAAACGTCGAGAGACTTAAATTATATTTTTATAGTTCTAAATAAACGTAATGATGTTCCGGGAAGTTTTATTAGTTC